TGTGCGTGCGTGTGTGTGTGTGTGTGTGTGTGTGTGTGTGTGTGTGTGTGTGTGTGTGTATGCATGCGTGTGTGTGTATGTGTGTGTGTGTGTATGTGTACGTGCGTGTTTTTATGTGTGTGTGTGTTTGTGTACGTGTGTGCGTGCGTGTGTATGCAGAAAAGGCAAGAAAGAAAAGAGGAAATTCACTCCCGCCTTTAATTATCCGAGTCAGCGGCCGCGGACTTTTTTCGTTTTGGAATTTCTGTTTATTGACTTTCCTAATCATGTTCAAGTTTGTTTACATCCGCTCATTCACGGGACTTAATCCTGGTTTCGCTCTCGCTCGCTCTGACTGTCTGTCTGTCTGACTGTCTGTCTGTCTTTCTCTCTCCCTCTCTGTCTTTCTCTTTCCTTCTCTCTTTCTCATTCTTTCTCTCTCTCTTTCTCTTTCCTTCTCTCTCTCTCTCTCTCTCTCTCTCCCTCTCTGTCTCTCTCTCTCTCTCTCTCTCCCTCTCTCTCTTTCTCTTTCCTTCTCTCTTTCTCATTCTTTCTCTCTCTCTCCTTCGTTCCATCCCGTCCCCACCCCTCCCTACCTCCTTTCCCCCCCTACCATCTCCCTCCCCTTCCCTTCCCTCCCCCTTTATCACCCCACCCCACCCCCAACCCCCCTCTCCCTACAAACCTTCTCCTTCTCCCTCCCCCCTTCCCACCCCCCATTCCCTACTCCACCGTGCCCAGATAGGTTCCTCCCCCCCCTCCCCCCCTCATCCGATGCCCCACAACAGGCCTCTGTATTTCTCCTAGACTGTAACTTGAGAGTTTATAAGGTTGCCTCTTTGAATACAAGGGGGAGCGGGAGGGGTGGGGGAGGCGGGAGGGGAGGGGGGAGAGGAGGAGAGGCAGGGGAAGGGGAGGGAGGGAGGGGAAGGGAAGGGAGGGAGGGGAAGGGGATGGAGGAGAGGGAGAGGGAGGTTACTCCTTCCTTTTTTTTGGCGGCGCGCCCGTCCCTGTCGCACGGCAGTGGAGTGTCTAGGCCATGGCGTCGGGACGCCCGGGCCCTGGTGGCGCTTTTTGTGCGCGCGCGCGTGGCAGCGCGCGCGCGCGCGCGCGCGCGCGCGCGCGCGCGCGCGAGCGCTCGGGCGCGGCGCGCGCGCGAGAGCGCTGGCCGGGCGCCCCCGGCCCGTCCTCTGCCCGTGCTCGCCGTGTGGATAAGGAAAGGAAGGAAAAAGAAGGAAGAAAGGGAGAGCTAGATACAGAAAAAATAAAGAACAGTCAGAAAAAATAATTATGAGGTAAAACAAAAAGAAAAGAAAAAAGAAAACCAAAAAAAAAGGGTAAACAATCAAACAAACATTAGCTTTCTTAAGATTTCACCACGTTTCGTAAACTATGAAAAAAGGGGAAAAAAAACTAGTCGTATATTTTTCCAAGAAAGAAGCCATTTCCAGCTTATGTTAGGGAAAAAAGGAATGATTGTTTATCTTCGTATTTTGGTCATAAAGGTCTCTTGATCTTGTGCTAATATTTCGAGAGATGTTTATGATAATAATGATAAGATTGATAATAATGTTGCTATTTTTCTTCTTTGTTTATATGTTTATTATCATTGTGTATATATATATTTTCAATATATTTTTTTTCACTGATAATAATCTATACTATTGTTCGAGTAATGATCATGGTGATGGTAATATCAATTAAACCGCAGTAGTAATAGTAGTAACGATATCAAACTACTACCGCCGGTGATATCATGTTTATTGGTTTAGAAATTGTCTTGATGAGGCAGTTAGTTGCACTATCTTCCTCACCTGTTTACCTCTCTTGCTTTTCGGAAATATTGTTTTGTTTTTCATCTTCTATTGCTATTAGTAATGTTGATACCATTATGATTATTATAATACCTATATAAATATAAACAACATCGATATTGAAATCAATAATTAAAAAAAACAAAGACGGAAAATTCAAGGAAAAGTGAAGTCAGGTGAGGACACGAAGTCTTATTGACTCCTTGTTGAACACTTGTGGCGCCATCTATGTGCAGAAAAAATCACTAAACAATTCTACAGCAATCGCTACATTTTCCCGGCGGAGTGGGTTAATAACAGTAATAATAATGATGATAGTGGTAATAAGGGTAATAGTAATAATGATGATAATAACAACGACAATCACAATAATGATTGCAATAATAATATAAGAAATGAATATAATGATAATAATAATAATTATGATAATAATAGTAATGATGGTAATAATAATACCAATATATAAAATGATAGTAATAGTAATAACATTAATGATTATGACAGTGATGGTTATAACAACAAAAACAATAATTATGTCTACATAATACAATCTTTGTTATTATGAATGATGATAACATTAATTACAATAACACTGATAATAATAACAACAGTAAATGAAATAAAACAATAATGATCATGAAAATTATACTCCCACCGCCAGTGATAGTTATAACTCATATTAACAATAAAGACGAAATTACGATGATAATAAAAACAATAACATCAATAACAAAAGGCAGTAACATTCCATTTCCACAGAAAATATGGCAGTTATTATTCAAGATTGCAAAGCTAACAGTAATTTCAGAACGAATGGCGGGTTAGAAATAGTTGTCGATATGTATGGAACGCAGAAATTAATAAATAAATAGAATGAATGTGTAAACAGTTATAAAGGTTATGGAATTTTGATATATGTGTTGACGGTACGATTTCCTTTAAGCTCGTTATCCGTTTGATTAATTTTGATGTTTTTCGTCTGTACTCGTCAATCATTCTAATTTCTATTTCACATCTTTCTGAGGGGGGGGGGAGAAAATCAAAGAGAGAGAACGGCAGTTTTCTGTCTGTCTGTCAGTCTCTCTCTCTCTCTCTCTCTCTCTCTCTCTCTCTCTCTCTCTCTCTCTCTCTCTCTCTCTCTCTCTCTCTCTCTCTCTCTCTCTCTCTCTCTCTCTCTCTCTCTCTCTCTCCCACCTCCTCCCCCCCTCTCTTTCTCTCTTTCGCTAAACCAGTGGTTCTTACCCTTTTAACGACCACTTCCCCGTTTAGGCTCTTGCCCTTCCCTCCACGCCTCCCTTGCTTCTGTAAATAAAATTCCCTCCCAGATTTTTTAGAAAATTTTAAGTCTTTTTAATGATTAGCATTATAATCAAACTTTCCTTTGTGTGACCATGCACTCGTTAAATGAGAATGATAAAGATAATTTGAGAATTACTGCCTCTTTTCCAAGGCCTCGAGCTCCCTTTTGGAAAATACTGAAGCCTCCTCCCCCCCCACTTCGCAATACTATCAGACACAGGGTATTTAAGTGCCACTGTGCTGGATACTCTCTCTTATAGGAATATCATGCTGTGACAGGGTGGATCAGTTAGCCTAATGAGCACTTTCCCTTGACGAACCATATTATGCAGTACCGCCACCTCCAAACCAAATGAAAAAAAAAAAAAAAAAAAAAAAAAACGTGTAATCAGCTGTTTATGAAATGATGAAGATGAATAAAAACGGACATGGTACTATCTGGCATTGCGAGAGTGTTGCTTGGACATCAGATATAGACAAACCCTTTAAAGTCTATCGTGGACTATCTTGGAGACGGCAGGTTACATTGACTAGGCTACGCGTAGGATATCAGTACATTATACAACATGCACATGATGCAGTTCTGGAGGTAAAGTAAGTTTCATATCACCTCTCTCTCTCTTTCTTTCTCCCCCTCTCTCTTTCTTTCTTTCTCTCTCCCTCTCTCTCTTTCTCTTTCTATCTCTCTCTTTCTCTTTCTATCCCTCTCCATCTCTCTCTTTCTCTCTCCCTCTCTCTCTTTCTCTTTCCCTCTCTCCCTTTCTCTTTCTCTCTCTCTCCATCTCTCTCTTTCTCTCTCCCTCTCCCTCTCTCTCTTTCTCTTTCTATCTCTCTTTCTCTCTCCCTCTCCCTTTCTCTTTCTCAAAATAAAATCCAATTATAATCTCACAAATGCCTATTCAAATGATGTTATGCGGGTGTCAAGTGAATTACAAAAAGGGAGTTCATTAATCACACTTGAAATTAATAATAATAATAATGATAAAAACCCGGTTGAATGAAAAGAAAACGGGGAAAGCAACAGTCGAAAAGGATAGATAAAAGATGGCGCGTGTATCCTGAGCCCAGAAACGCGGTGGGCATTTGCTTATCCGATTACCACAAGCAAATTTGCATAACGTAAAAAAAAGAATAAAAAAAAATGGAGTGCCGGGACAGAGTGATGGGACAGCCAGGCGGGTCGCGGGCCATAAAGGGTCTTAGTGAGCGACCCCATAGAGGTGATAATTCCGTGTGGCATCGCCGTCCGTCCCGCTGGGTGCTGCTCGCAGGCGCCCGTCCCGCGAGGCCAGATGTTTTCAAATATCATTTTATTCGCCTCATTTTGCGGTTTTCCTCACTTGTCTCTGCATGACTCCTGCATGGCCCGTGAGATTAGCGTGGGTGTGTTCTTGGGCAAGGTACGTATGCTAATGAGGGATCATGTTGAGAGAGCGAGCGAGAGAGAGAGAGAGAGAGAGAGAGAGAGAGAGAGAGAGAGAGAGAGAGAGAGAGAGAGAGAGAGAGAGAGAGAGAGAGAGAGAGAGAGAGAGAAAGGACCTGTATTCGACCCGGAATTAGTGTAAAGTGTTCTGACGAAGGGCTAACTTCCAACGTCGCTGCCTGGCCTACGATGACGACGCGCGCGCTTTCTGGCACCAACATGCGGTTTCTGCACTATACAATTTTTTATTTTTAAATCTCTCTTATAACACCGCTAACGAAAAATTACATACTACAACCAAACACAAAAAAACAACTAAAATACACAATAACAGAAAAAAAATATATTAATACTCTTGCCCAAATACAAAGAATTATTATGCCATTACCCTTCCCGGGTTCGCTGCGCTGCGGTACGACAGTTTGCGCATGCCCGCCCACGGTTACCCAGGCTCGCCCGGAGTAACCTCTCGACCCCAGCCTCAGTTACCCGTGGGGCGTGAGAAGGTCTTGTGCTGTCTGTCTGCGTGCCGAGAGCGCGGTGGGCGTGTCCGGGGTTACCCCATGTGATTCGTTGCTGCTTCGGATCTTGTGAATTTTTTTTGTGTTGGTTTTGTTTCATTGTTTCGGATTTTTTATTTTTCCGGGGTAATTCACTGGTTTTTATTGTTTTATTTCGGTGATATATGTACATTTGTTTAAAAAATCGGAACTGCATAGAGATCTGATGGTCAAGAGCTATTGTTATTATTGATATATATATTTTATTATTTATTTGTTTTTATTTTTCGTAAATTTAATTGACGGAATTCTCTTACATCGACAAGGTTTTCCGCGGCGACGGCGAGCGAGCAAAGGAAAAGGTAAGGCTATTGTTTTTTTTATGATTTAAATTTGATCTAACACGTTGCAGGCGTGTTCGTGTTCGTGTGCGTGTGTGTGTGTTTAAATGTGTGTAAATACGCGTGTGTGTGTGTTTAAATGTGTGTAAATACGCGTGTGTGTGTGTATGTGTGTTTTTGTTTGTCTGCTTGTGTGTGAGTGTGTGTGTGTGTGTGTGTGTGTGTGTGTGTGTGTGTGTGTGTGTGTGTGTGTGTGTGTGTGTGTGTGTGTGTGTGTGTGTGTGTGTGTGTGTGTGTGTGTGCGTATGTGTTTGTGTGTGTGTGTGTGGAAATGTGTGTTATTAGTACATGTATTAATGTGTACACGTGTTTTTACCAGTGTAAGTGTGTATGTGTATTTTTCGATTATTATCTTTTGTATGTTTTACCTTTTTCGCGTGTTTGTTTGTTTTATTTTGTCGGCGGTCCAATGAGCAGTTTCCAAACACACACACACACACACACACACACACACACACACACACACACACACACACACACACACACACACACACACACACACACACACACACACACACACACACACATACACACACACATACACACACACATACACACACAAACACAAACACAAATACACGCACATACACAAAACAAGCACACAATCTTCCTCCCCCCCTCCACTCCCTCCCCCCACATCCCCACTCCCTCTCCACAAACATCCAAACCCTGCATAGACCTACACACCCTCCCTCCCCCCTCCCCCCCTCCCTCCCTCTCTCTCTCCCACCCTCCCTCCCTCCCCCTCCCCCTCCCCCTCCCTCCCTCCCTCCCTCCCTCCCTCGCGTACGCACGTGCTTGCAGTCCTCGGCCGTGCTTGGGGAGTGCGTGAGGCGCCTGTCACTGAGCCCGTAACCCGAGAAAGCAACATCGGTGTTACCAAGGCGGTGTGAGATGGGGGGGGGGGGGCGATGCTGAGGGGCAAAAAGAGGGGGGAAGGGGGAAGGGGGAGGAAGGGGGAGGGGGAGGAAGGGAGAAGGAGGGAGAAATGGGGGGAAGGAGGAGGAAGGGGGGGAGGGGAAGGAGGAGGAGGAGGAGGAAGGAGGAAGAAGGAGGGGGAGGAGAAGAAGAAGAAGAAAAGATAAAAGAGGAGAAGAAAGAAGAGACGAAGGAAAGTAAAAAAGAAAGAAAGAAAGAATATGAAAAAAACGAAGCAGAATTTTGTCATAATTTTTTTCTTTATCTTTTTTTTATTCTAATATTGTTTTTGTTCTTATTTTACTTAATTAGTTGTTGTCACGATGGCTGAAGAAATTTATAATTGATGTTATCTTATTGAAAATCTTTATTTCTTTTCTTTTCTCTTTTTTTTTATTATTTAACTATTTCTCTTTTCTTTTACTTTTTACCTTTTCTTTCGTGAATCCTTTCCATTTTCTCCTCGTTTTTATTTTAAATATTTTTTTTTATGTTAGAATTGGGATTCGATTGATATATTAGAGACTTTTTTCAAATATGGTTTTGTTGATCTGGACTAAGAAGAGAGATTGGCTCGAAGGTTTGCTTGCACACGCGCACACACGCACACACACACGCATATGCATACACACAAAATCGTACACACACACACACACACACACACACACACACACACACACACACACACACACACACACACACACACACACACACACACACACACACACACACTCAAACACACACACACACACTCAAACACACACACACACACACACACACACACACACACACACACACACACACACACACACACACACTCAAACACACACACACACTCAATCACACACACACACACACACACACACACACACACACACACACACACACACACACACACACACACACACACACACACACACACACACACACTCAAACACACACACACACTCAAACACACACACACACACACACACACACACACACACACACACACACACACACACACACACACACACACACACACACACACACACATACACACACAAACAAACAAACAAACACAAACACAAAAACGCCCACACACACGCCCGCACGCACGCACACGCACACGCACATTCATACGCACACATGTAGACAAAAAGGTATGAATGGACATTGATAAAGTCGATGTATTAAAACCCCTTCGAATGCTTTTTCAAATTGTTTTGTGAAGATATTAATTTTCATTCATGCGTTTTTTTCTGTGTTTGTCTCAATGAATACTTTTCACGCGCACATATATATATATATATATATATATATATATATATATATATATATATATATATATATATATATATATATATATATATATATATAGACAGCTAGACATATAGACAGACACAGATAGATAGATAGATAGAGGGATAGATAGATAGACAGAAAGTAAGATAGATAGATAGATAGATGAATAGATAGATAGATAGACAGAAAGGTAGATAGATAGATAGGTAGATAGATAGATAGTTTGATAGATAGATAGATATATAGATTGATAGATAGA